TCAATAGGAGAAAAGTGAACAATAATATTAGCAATGAAAGAAGAGAACACCTATTTGTCATTAGTATAAAGAATTTCATTAGATGTAGAAAAAAATATTTAAAGAAATTATTAATAACAATAGTGATGGGTACCAACATATATGTTGATCGTTAATCAAATGATTTGTTTTATTTTTTTTAAATCATGCGTTATTAGCTCTCATCTAATGACTGATGAATAGATAAGAATACATAAATCATTCTAGATTAATTAATGTTATTTCAATGTTTATTGATAACAAGCTAGGAGTACTAGTTAAAAATAGGATTTGTTTATGTTTCTTAATCATTAAAGGTGTTTTCTTAAAAAATCTATCACATATTTGGAACTCGTCGGATCTACGAAGATATATAATGCAAAAATTCATATAATTCTTGGAGTTTCTAATAGTAATAACTCGATATGGGCAAGATCGTCTGGGTACTAATTTTTACTGAATTCAGGACCACAACTTTTTCAATGAGAGTGATATCTTTTATGACTGTGTAAAACTTGCGTTAAATGTCATATTCTTACAACTCATATATTCTAAATATTTTATGAGAAAACGATTGAGTAACAGTCATTTCAATAATTGTTGTTACAAGTTTAAGAGTAAAATTAATTCTTTTTTTCGTAAACACCACTGTTGTCGACCACATGATAGTGCAGCATAGAGGAAATACTGTTGAATTAAAGAGAAAAGTAATGAGTCTTCAAGAGAGAGAATATTAGAAGTCATGCTGGTTGTGCAAGATGTCTAGAGCTCATTGACACTGCTGGAACGTGACAAGAAACGCTCTGCGTTGCGACTTGTTTAACTCTCCACTGAATGTTCAATTTTTTCTGTCTAATATACTACTTTGCAAGCCGAATCGAAGTCTCTGGAATTGTTCCTTTCAAATTGAATGTCGAAAAAAACTATAGTAACTATTTTGAAACGACGGAAATCTAGGGTCTTGAAAAAAACATTTGTTTATCAACGAAACCCCGAGGCAGAGGGCCATGCCATGCAACAAAAATATAACAGACATTACATGAATCCCAAGTCAACGGAATCCTTATTTATTTAATGAGATGCTTCGAACAAGTTATTATTACACATGTATATGGACACACTTCATATCCTCTATTCTTTTCATGGTGCATCTACTATGTCGTTAGAAATTTTCATTCCCTTTTACATATATATATATCCCACTTTTTTCGATGATGGGACTAAGTGGAGGAAGAGAGGTAGAGAAGTTTTACAGTTACGTATAACTGAAAACCATATATATATACATACTGGTAAATAGTTCTTAAGTCTCTCTAGCTCCGTCATCCAAAAAGGGAGTTTATACTTATAGACATGAATGAATAATTCTTAAGTCACCTAAACACTCATTTCTATTCAAAATTGAGTATCCTTTTGGGTCTAAATTCAGACTCAAGTCCAACAGCCCATTGTATGGCGTCGCCAGATACTGTTAAGTACTAATGCAGTTTCAATATTATGAAAAGATACCCCACCGTCAATAATAGTTCAAGTTAAAAAAGACTCTGGTGCAACTCCTATTTTCTCTTGAAATAACTGACTCTTACTGGAAAATATCGCTTTCATAAATACTGATGATAGTATACTTTATGCAAATTGTATACCCTCACCATATTTGTAACGGTCGAATCAGTAGAAAAAATAGTATCCTGACGAAAGTTATTGTACAATTAAATAATGAACCAATTTATCGTTGTAATCACATATAATGCATGAGGATTTTCTCATCATTTTCAGTTAGGACTGATGTTGATGGGAAACTCGTGTCCATTATTTGCAATGTGAGGATAGTGTGATAAATGAAATGGTTGAAGAAATTCTACAAGAATTTTCTTTCATAGCGTTGAATTGTTTTTGTTTAACTATTAGAATTTAATAATGGAGTAAATTAAAAAAATATCTTTTCAGAAGTTTTTTTTCCTCAAGTGTCATGGAATACAAAGACGCAAATTAGAAAATAATGCCATTTAGCAGGAAAAATCTTGTAAAGTCTTTACTATTCTTTTTAGATTTTTTTCGAAATAAACTCGTAATGAATATAAGAAAAGTTCGAAAATTACCCATAATTGAATAATTTCAATTCTAAAAAATGCAAAATAAGATGTATGAATCTTCATATATCTAAGAAATATTTCTTCACAATTATTTAGATTATACATTAATTTTTTTATTGTAATAATTTCATGTTTTATTAAACAATACAATAAAATACAACTTAGTTCTTACTCGAAAAAAATGTATGATACAAAAGTTTATTTTTATTAATAGAAGAATCAAGTTGATTTTTTATCATAAAAATAACTTTGTCGAAAAACAATTATTCGTTTTCATTTTTATCTGAGAGTTTTATAAATTTACTTTGAAAAGATCTTCATTTATATTTATCTATTGTGACTTTTTAAAAATATTCTCTTTATTTAATATGATACTATGAAAGGAGATGAATAAAAGATGAACAAATAATCAATCACTCTTCTTTTTATTCTTCTTTACGATATATTTTCAAATCAAAATTTTAGCATAAGTATAAAGATTAGTTACATATAGTATGCTTTATCATTATCGTTTGCCATTGTGTAGTAAAAAGCTGTCAGTGCAATTCAAGCGCAATTAAAGCGTCATACACAATGTAGCTTCTACTGCTAATCACACGTGCATTGTTTTGTTTTACGTAGCTAGGGACATATTTCTTCGCGTTTCTTTCACTGAATTCTCCAGAAGTACAATAAGAAAGTTAGTCGATACATTCTAGCGAGTCGTTATTGATATATAGTCTATGATCGCATATCAACAAGATCTGTCATAGTCTTTGGATGGAGAGGTGAACCAAATTTCTAGTCTATACACTTCAACATTCCTTTTAGATCGTGTTTCATAAAATACTGTTTCATCTGGGAAGAATATTCTCATAGTTTTTAAAAGACTAAATTGGTATGGAAAACATCGCCATCAATAGTCGCATCTACGATTAGCATGACACCGATCACGTATAATAGCAGAAAATTATTTAGTGACAAACATACAAAGTAACAAGAGCATTAGATGACTCTGAGAAGAGTATGAAAGAAAACACAGATTTTGAAAGTATTGCTCAAATCACCAACTGCAACGATAATTAGCA